AAGAAAGAAAGAAAGAAAGAAAGAAAGAAAGAAAGAAAGAAAGAAAGATTCTTCATTTTTAGACAACCCATTCAGGCTTATGCTGCAGTACTATTTATGCTTATGTAAGTAAGACACTTACTTCCCAGAGGGCACGTCTATGGTTTCATAGTTTAGGAGTTTCAGATCTGAGCTGCAATCCAGATAATCAATAGACAGTAGCAAAGAGAGGCAGAAAAAGTATATCACTGATATTTAATGATTGTCTGGACTTTATGGTTCAGATCTGATAGCATTATTGCAGTTAGTGGAATTTCTTCTTCCTGCTATCAGAGAAGTGAATGCATTAAATTAAATGGTAATTCAATTGCATCAGTAGTTTGACAAGGACTGATGAAAACAATCCATTCTCTCACACAGAAATCTGGCAGAAAGCAAACATTTCTTCTAAAGAATTTATGAGACATATAAAATGATGTAAAACCATTTGAAAACAGGTGGGGAGGGACAAAGCCTGAGGCTTTTAGTTGATGAATGACAAGCACTTATCTAGAAAGATTTATGAAATTAGTAAACTCGTCATAAAACAGGGCTTACAATGGATTTTATTTTTATTTTTTGCCCTGGAATATAGAGTTTTCTCAGTGAAGTTGACTATTGCTTAAAGATCCATTGTAGTTGATTTATATCTCATTACATAAGACAATTTCTTTCGTTCTCACTTTTCTGATTTTTCTCCATTCCCACATGCAACAGAGATAGTGAGAGGATTCCACGCAAAAGAGACTAACCATTTGGCTGTGGGGAAATGTAGGAGTATTTCTTGAAGACATAGGTGCCCTAAGTCCAGTTCAAAGGCAGTTAGTGCTTCATAGTCAAGGAGGACCTCCCAAACAATCCCAAAAGCTTTAACATCTGTACCAGTGGTGTGCGAAAGGGAGGGCAGCATTTCAACTTTTTCTGAAACAAGTGAAAGATTATGGATATAACACTGCCAAACACACTTTTGATCTTCACAAGAACTCTATGCAGTGGATTTGACTGAGCATCGTTAACTCATAAAATGTCACCATATGATGAATGAGGATTTGCATTGGGTCCCTCTGATTAAAGTGGCTGCAACTAACAAATAAGCAACAAAAGCCCACTTCGCTAACTTTTGTTATTTTCTGGATATTGCAATATAAAATAGGCCTGTTAACTCTGATGGTTTTTTTAAAAAAAAAACAGTAAATAAGCAAGTAAATATTAAATTTACTTAATATTTCTCTAATGTTATTAATATTTATTTAAATCTATCTACTGGGATCTTTGGATTAAAACAAACAGTGACCTTTCTTCTTTCACACATTGGAGGTCTGCTCTATTTTCCTTTCCCTTAAAAGAAATTTGGAGCGAAACTGGACTCAAAAATAGGAAAAAATTGGGAAACCAAATTAAATGCTGAGAGAGGAATGGCTGCTGCAGCAGAGAAGTGGCTGGTGATCAGAGAAGAGTGAGTATGTTTACAACTCCCATCACTGAAACAGAGCTGGCCACACCCAGCAGGTCATCTACAGTAACTGTCTCTAAAGTGTTAGATGAGAATTGTTGCAAATTTTATACATCCTGAACCAAGGATGGGATAGAATTGACTCAAAGACAGAAAGACTACTTTTATGTCAGAACATTTAAGGCCTTTCCTTAACTTAGCTCCAGGACTTTCACATTTAAGTTGGCAACTAATGGCAACATTTTCATAGTGAGTCAAGATGTTGTGCTTCGTCAACAATTTGGTCAACATTCTTGTCAGGTGATTCCAGTAGTGGGATTCAAATAATTTAACAACTGGTTCTCTGCCCTAATGATTTCTTCCAACAACCAGTTCACTAAACTGCTCAGAAAGTTAACAACTGGTTCTCTTGAAATGGTGCAAACTGGCTGAATCCCACCACTGGGTGATTCCTGGGGCTGGATTCAACCTGGCACATTTTAAACATTTTAGACTAGCATACCCCTTGATCTCAAATCCCAGAGCATTGTCTCTAAGGGTAATTCTGTTTTGGGGTAGTAGAGTCTAGTTTTCAATCCAGTTCTCCCATTGTCTCTATGAACTAAACCTTCATTTGGGAAACTGACTCACTCTGAATTGCAACTGACCTGTGCAGAAGGGAGGAGAGTTCATGGTAAAGTGGGAGAAAGAACTCTTTCATAGCGCAACTCTGCTACTATCCACCTATCTGTTTGGTTGTACTTCAATTGATGTGATAAAGGAGATATCCCTCTTCTAAAATACTATACTATTAAATCTCTGTCCAAGAGGAGGCTGATCACCAGCTGATGTCAGCTGATCATTCTGAACATACCAACTCAAAATATTTGATAAATGAAAGTGAATATATATTTCTCAGGATAATGTTGCAGGATCCAATCTGGCTCAGTCATCAGAACCAGAAGTTTAGTCTTCTGAGCTTTCAGACTAGTGCTGGAGCCCATCCTCAGGGAACTTCTCTCTAGCAGAGTGTGTGCTTTGGGCTATTCTGGATTTATATGCAGTCTATTATATATTTATATGTTCTGATTTATATGCAGTCTGTTGTAGCTTTTTAGATGTTGATTGGGGTGTTGATGGCTGCTGATTAAGTCATTTGCTGTTGTTTCCCTTTTCAAAATATTTGCTCCAAACTACAGTGAATTTTGAAAGATGGCTAAACCCTCTGGGGTAGACATCTACTAAAACTTGCCTTCTTCCTCAACCCCAGCCCTAGAGCACATTAAGGAGAATTATTGATAGTTCTTGTCAATTAGTGATGTTTGATGGGAAGGAAGAGAAACAGGAGAAATTCAACAATCCTGGTAATCAACATACACATTCTTTTGGCAGAATTGAGTTTTCCACTGGATATCTACTTATATCAGTAGAGTTTTCTGTCAGTTCAAGAATTCATGGATAGCTATGTTGAGAAGAGCTTTTAATGATGACTTTGTTTTATTCATGTATTAGGAATTGAAATGAAGCTATTGTCAGGAACCAAATAGATAGTTTATCATTGTTAGGGCACAATTCATGGTATCAGCCCTTTGAGATAAACCAAGTGGAGACTAATGGAACTCTATTATTGCTGGACATATTAGCAGAATCTTGGAAGTAAAGATTCTCCACTATTTTTTATATATCAAAGAGTATCAAGGAGGGTAATCTTGAGGTTCTTTCTCACTCCCTCATATAACAGCTGTTGAATACATTCTTCAAAGCCATACCACTCTTCAAAGCCATACCACTTGTACATTTCAAGTAATCTCTTTTGATTCTCTTCAAATCCCACAGTTACTACATTAATCACATTGTTGGCACTGAAGATGCCAACTGACCGAGTATCTCACTGGCATAGAAACTAAACCCTCCATAGCAAGCCCAGTTATATAATCTCAGACTTTTGGGGTCTAATTAGTTGAAATTAAAATATAGAAACACAGTAGAATTGATTTTTTAAAAATCCATTTGTGTTGGGAAATTCTTGCCCAGTATCAAGTTTATTCTATTTTAAAGGTGACCATTACATTTTATAGTTTCTTTGATGGTGTGCTTGTCAGGCAAAAGGAAATAAGTTGGATATAATAAAAAGAGATTAAGCTACTATGGAAAAGATTGCCCTCCACTTGATTTGTTTGTTTTGGCTACAATTGCACAGAATATTTCAACAGCTAAGACAAAGGTTAAGCACAAGTAGCAGTAATTGATAATGGTAAACCACTTCTAACCATAGGAATAAAAGTACTTTATTGTCTGCTTGCGACAGCTGATCACAGGGAAGTGGAGTGTTTCATAATAACATTTATCACGTTATTTTGTAAAGATAACCAGATCTGAGAAGCAGCTTTAAATGTTTGGAAATCCTGTTCAATTAATGTTTAAAGCAGCTAAGGAAACTAAACAGAGAATATCCCACAACTGAAACATTTTTTTCTACAATATATTCTCTAAAGTGCAATTGTGCCTATGTGAGGCAGCTTAAATTCATCACGGGGAAGACCTTTTCATTGGGAAAATGATGTAGTCCTTTTTATCAAGACAAAGAGATGTGATTTGCCTTAATGAAACTTTGCACTGCCTTCTAGGCATGCCATCATCTTCTACCGAATGTCCTCTGGGTTCTTTCCTTCATTTGCAAAAGTTGGACAAGGAAAGCTTTCCAAGGAAAGCCCCAAAACACGGCACGATGGAAGCTTTTTTAAGTGTTTGCAGTCATCTATAGCATCTTCAATACTTGGAAAGTGGAAAGGATTTCCAGAGAATTCTAAAATGAGTGTTGCTCTCCTCCAAGCATCCTACAGCATTGACAAAAGGCAAAATGGTGACTTTTTTCACCCTTAGAATTGCCAAAGGAAAATGAGCAGGGTTTGGGGAAGCAGCGCAAAGAGAAGCACTGTAAAGCATCAAGACTATTTCTCTTTATTCTTAAAGGTCAGCAAGCTGTCTTGCTTCCTGAAGAAGCTTTGAGGGATGATTCACACAAACTTTGCGACCTCCTTCAGGTGTTATTATTATTTCAGGCCTAATGAAACCACAGTCTATGCTATTTTGAACGAAGTAAAGAGAAAAGAAGAATAATTAAAGAAATATGCAGAGAAGGTAAGTATTTCTCAACAAATTAAGCTTTTATAACAACCTTTAAAAGTAAGAGAAATGGAAATGATGAAACAAAAAAAATGAGTTTGAAAGAAGCGGCTAGCATGTGCATTTCAGAAAGAGAAAGAAAAGAATATTGAAATTTATATTGGAAATGTGAACAACAAGAAGGGACATTTTTATCATGCTTGAGGGTCATGGGAAAAAAATCTAGAAGATTATTGTCTCAAACACACACAATAATTCATAAGATTTTTAAGATTAATATAAAATTGAGACTAATTAATATAATTTTTTTCTTTTAGGTCTGAAGGACAAATATTTAAAAAAATCATATGTGCATGATAACTGCAGCAAGATTAGTATTCTTTCCATCTATGCACACAGATGGAAAAATTCGACCTTGCTCACAATGGAGAAACAATTGGTGAAGATGATGGAACTTGCTGAGATGGCTAAATTGACTTCTTTGATCAGAGAAAAGTCAATAGTTGCATACATTGCTGACTGGAAATTCCTTATGGACTTTTTGTGTAATACAGAAAAAATGAATTTAAGATTTATGGTTTTGATGATTCCACAGGATAGGTTATAGAAAAGAGAGAGTTATGTTGTAACCATAGAATAAAAAGTAAAGTTGTGATTGTACATATGACTGCTGTAAAGAAGATTGGAAACTACTTCTTTGCAGTTTTTTTCTTTTCTATTTTTCTTCCAGGCTGCTACATCGAGTCTGCTGCATTCAGCCAACTCTTCTATGCTACAGGGCAGTATTAAAGCAGATATAAACAATGGGTTTCAGTTCAGAAGAAGACATTCATTCTCTATCATATCCCAAGAGGGAAATGAGAGAAATAATGAGATGCAATTTGATGTGATGAGATTGGTGACACTGCTTAGCCTGCTTGTGAAAGGCAGTTGGACATTAAACCAAAGGAGACCAAAAGCCTAGATTATTTCAGTCCTGCTAAATAATTTATGTGATGATAGCCCACTTCATTATAAATTATAACTCATCATCATCATCAATATCATCAACATCCTAATGTTTTTCCTGCGGGTGCTGGGTCTACTTTTCAGATCAACAACTGCTATCTTGTGCAATCAAACACACCATCTGGATCCAACTGGGCATTTTTCATGTCCACATTTATTGTAGCTTGCCATCTTTGCCTTGACTTCCACATGGGCACTCGCTATCTATATTAAAATGGAAGGCAATGTAGGCAACGATGTGGGTTCTGCTCATAGAACATGGCCATACCACTGTAGGTATTTCTCCCACATTTTTTCTGATATTGACATGGTGCCCATTTGCTTATGAAGAGTGTCATAGCTGACATGGTCAAGGAGGCAATCCCTAACAATCAACAAAGTATGTGCATCTCTGTGGCATGTAAAATGGCTAGCACAATGTAGAGTTTCTGGGTGCACCATTATAAAATATAATATGTATCATTATAAAATATAAATGATGTAATAAAAAAAAGGATTGTTAAAGATTGATTTGACTTCCTTCAAGTCAAGCTTGACTTCTGGTGACATGATATTCTTTCACTAGTATGGATGAAGTTTGCCTTTGTCCAGACTTTTTTAAACTTTATTGTCCAGCTTATCCACTTCTGACCCTGCCTAACTTAGATATAAGATAAGATAGGACTTACCAATTCCAAGATCAGTTGCATTAATTGCTGCAACTGCATAAAACTGCCTGATAGTTCTCCAAAATTCCAGAGTTGAAATCTGTAATAACAAAACTATAGCAATAAAACAGGTTTGTCTACTGAGAATAGAAACTATTACAATTGATGCAGATGTTTTACACTGGTAAAAGGATCAAGTAGTAGCAGTAATAAATAAGAGTCTTGACAGAAAGCAATAATACACAAGATAACATTGGACTGTGTGAGTCATTGGCTTTATCTGAAATAAGACAGCTTCATAGGATTATATGGCCTTAAGAGCCACTTCTTATTGTGGTTGAATATGTGTTTCCCAGGCTTCATTAAAGAAAAGTGGCTGATATTTGCCTCTGAGGTTACATGTTTTTAAAAGCCTTTTTACTATCTCAGCAAAGTTTAGAGAGAAGTTATGTTCACTTGGGAGTCTGAAGAGTAAATCTCACTGTTCAGAATATTTTTAATTGCTCAAAATAGAATTTTTATAATACTTCTCTCCAGCAAGGCTACAAGCTCACCATCATTAGAAAATAATTAAGCTGTGAATATAAAGTTAGATGGTACCATGTCTTCCATAGGAAAAAAAATGAAAATTCAAAGTCTGTTTTTCATTACTGCGGTGTATAACTTAAGTGAATAAATAAATGCATGAAAATTGCTGGTCCCCCTTTGTCCTATTGCTCTACCCACTGCAACTATTCCCCAAACTTAAGTTCTTTTGACCTCAGTAGGGTATCTTCCCCTGGGATAGAGGGATCATAATCCAGAATAAAAGGGGAAATTCAACAATCAGTAATAAAAAGAATGATGTCCTTGGAATAAATCAATATTAAAACAATATCCAGAGTAGTGGGTCATTATAATGGCAAAGATTAGACTCACATATACCAAGTATCTGCTCCAGAAATGGCTTTGGCAATCACGCTTTCGATTAGAAAAGGCCATTTTAAACTCGTATTCTGACTTCAGTGGTTGTTGATTGGATTTAAACCCAAAGATCTAATTTTGCCAATTCTAGCTACTTTTAGGGAGATGCTGTATGTCCAATTCTTCATTACATTGGGTGAGAAAGGAAAAGTGAACTTCTTTGAACTTGCTTCAATAGTTGACCCTTTAAGGAAAGATGATGTTGTGGAAGTAGGCATCATCTTTTGGTAAGGAATGTCTTATAGGTAGCAGCTATGATGGCTCTATTCTGTGCATGATAAAATATGTTTTTGCATTTCAAAATAAAAGATACTGACAGTATTCTTTTCTCTTCTAACCAAAAAGAAGATATGGATTTGGGGACCAAGGGCATACAGGGTGCATGATAAGCCAATAGCTGCTATTTATTCCAGTTTTTTAAAGATTTATTAGACAGACCAGCTGCTTTGGCTTTCAGTAGGTAGCGCTTAGTATTTTGCCCTACTTTCAGTACATTATTTCATGGAATTTGGTGCAGGTGTGGGTTAAAAAATCAGTGAAAATCTAAAACATGACAACATTTAGAAGGCAGCATTTGAGGCAATTTATGGTGTAATTGGGGTTAAGTCTGTGCAATAATAAACTTCCTAACAGTGAGGATAATCAAAAACGTCATCAAAAAAGCACAATAAAGAATGTTCTTTCTGCACCAACTCAGAAAGCTCAAACTGCCCAAGGAACTGCTGATACAGGTCTACAGAGGAATTATTGAGTCTATCATCTGCACCTCTATCACTGTCTGGTTTGGTTCTACAGCCTAACAGGACAAAGACTTCAGAGAATAATTTGGACTGCAGAAAAAAACAATTATTACCAACCTGCCTTCAATCAAGGACCTGTATACTGCATGAGTCAAAAAGAGGGCTGTGAAAATAGTTACAGACCCCTCACATCCCAGACATCAACTGTTTCAACTCCTTCCCCCAAAACGACACAATAGAACGTTGCACACCAGAACAACTAGACGCAAGAAGTTTTTTCCTGAAAGCCATCACTCTGCTAAACAAATAATTCCCTCAACACTGTTCACCTATTACAAAGTCTGCACTACTATTACTGTTAATCTTCTCATCACTCCTTATCACCCATCCCCTCCAACTTGTGACTGTATAACTGTAACTTTGTTGCTTGTATCCTTATGATTTATATTGACTGTTTCCTAGTATGATTTGATTGCTTATTGTACCCTATGACTATCATTAAGTGTGGTACCTTATGATTCTTGACTCTTGACGAATATATCTTTTCTTTTATGTATACTGAGACCATTTTCACCAAGACAAACTCCTTGTGTGTTCAACCACACTATTCTATTCTATTCTATTCTATTCTATTCTATTCTATTCTATTCTATTCTATTCTATTCTATTCTATTCTATTCTATTCTATTCTATTTCTATTTCTATTTCTATTCTATTCTATTTCTATTCTATTCTATTCTATTCTATTCTATTCTATTTGTATGTAAATTAACCAGTGGAACAGCTTGCCATCAGAAGTTGTAGGTGCGGGAGGTTTTTAAGAAGAGAGTGGACAGTCACTTGTCTGAAATGGCATAGGGTCTCCTCCTTGAGCCGGGGTGTTGGACTAGAAGACCTCCAAGGTCCCTTCCAGCACTATTCCGATTGATTGATCTCAACTAACTATAGCTCAAGACATGAATTACTGAAAAAATATTGTTTGCAGAGATGTCAGATGATATAAAATTCCTCTTTGTGTCACTTAATTTGAGTGGATTGTTTCCATTCATATATGGTGATTATCACTCACTGTAATCACTGTAATCTTTGGCCATGCATCAAAGAAAAGTACAATAAGAATATTATGCTATGCTTCATAACTCAGACATACCAAGATAAAAGTCAGATTATCTTAAAGTGCTTTGAACCAAAACATTTGTTATTCTACAATGTTGCCACTCAAGAATTGCAAACCACAAGATCCTTTTTTTAAAAAAACTGGTAAAAATTAGCTGAGTTAAGTGGACATCAATTGATTTTGGGATATAGCAGTACAGTTTTAGTTCAGTCTCATCAAAATGCTGCAAAGCAATTCTATTAAATAGCAATCCCCATTTTATTAAAGTTTGTAGTTTATTCACAATGACAAGAAGAACTCTTGGGTATTATATTATTTCTTACAGGACTCTTAAGAAAGATTCCAGATTTAAGTTGTATCTAACAACTTTTTAATTGCATAACTTTTATAAACATAGTATCTCATTGCTGTTGGTTTTTTTGCTGCCTCCTCCCCACCTCCTACGTCTTTTCTTTCTTTTCTGTTTCAGTGTAGTACTATACTGAGTATCTTGGGAATATCATAAATGTCATTTATGAGGATCTTTTGTATTTTATACTGCTCAGTCTTAAGTAGATCAAAATGATAACCACGATTACTCGTACTACTTTATTGTAGGAGATATTTGATAAATACTTATTATCTTATCCTACTATTCCATACTTTGCTCCACTTCTACTGATATTTATTTCATTATTGCATGTGCATGTTTGAAAGACTTCAAGCATAGTGGTAAATTATGAGCAATCACTATTTTGGGGGAAAGAAAAAAATGGGTCTGCTTATAGCAGCAATAATTGCTGTAGAACAATAATTGTTAATATTAAAATGTAAATAAGCATCTTTCTGAAGGGAGAGAAAGTTGTATTTTTAGAAATGTAGATGGAAATGTCAGGGGGAAAATCCCCACAGGACACAAATTATATCAAACAGCAACAATAGAAGCTTTCCAAAAATGCAATATCCATTTCAACTTAGCATGTGGCCTTTTTTGAAATTCACAGTTGACACTAATGTTCCACAATGGAATTCCTTACTAAATTAATTCAGAACAATAGGATTTCCCATTCCCCACCTAAGGATTTCCTGATTGTCTGGTAATTCTATTGTAGCCAGAAATGCAGAAATAGGGATAGCTGCGTTTTGGAGTTAAATACTATATGCAGCTTTTAGACATCTTGACTCCAATGTTTACTGTGTATGTAAATAGACTTAGACAAAAGGTGGTGACCTTTGTTTTGTTCAGGTGGGATCCAAAGGAAATGAAGCATAGTGCTATCTTTCCCCACTATGTGTTATTAAATCTTCAAAGCTATGAGTTTTTCTCTTTCTCTCACCACCACCCCATACATTTTCTTCTTTGAAAAGTCATTTTTCCAGAGCTGCCAATATTTTAACTCCAGCATGCGAAGGTGGATTTCAACCAGGAAGGCTTCTCTTGATAAAGGGAGGCAGG